AGATAAACTTTGTTACAAGGAATTCTGCCTTGCAGAACTTACTATCTGAGGAAGTGGGTGGCTGTAGAGCAAGAGGATACAAGAATATAGAGCACAAGGGCCCAATCCCATTCCCATTGAAATTGATGAGAATTTTAACGTCAATTTCAGTGACAGCAGGCTCCAAAGGATTACAACTTTTCTACAAAATTGAGATTAATCCTTTAACATAATATTTTTATTTTTAAGTTTTAGCTGATGATGCTCTGGAGTAACTATATACTAAAGACTCCCATCTGCCATCTAAGCACAGAACTTCTTAGCCACTATAACAAAGAATATGATAAACAATAGTATGCAAATTCATTCTGCTGATGTAATTACACCCACATCCTTCCCAAATTATCCATTATTATGGTTATTTCTGATATTTAGAATATGGTGTACAAATAACTGAAGTACCTTTTAAGTAAACCTTGGGATGAAGAGCATCTAGACGCTTTTTCAGTTTGATGAGTCCAAACATTTCTCTCTTACAGGTGTTTGCTTACAGGTATTTATGCTACATATCTTTCCACACAACTAAGATTTTTGACTGCATATGCAAATATAAAATGACAGATAACCAGAAAAACGCAGCTTCAACGAATCAGAACAATCCTTTATCAGAGTTAGTGTTACATTAGTTATAACAGCACATTTAAGTAGTCAACAGAATAAAACTCTGGGGAAAAAAAGTTTGCGATCTGTTATTTTGCATATAATTTTGAACATGCACTAGTTTTGATTAATTTGTTTTTCAGCAGGGCCTTTGCATACATATTTACACTTTGTAAGAAAGCTGACCTCTGCATCAACATAGCAAAAAATCCAATGTCACTTTCAATTCTGCTCCTCTTTTTTTTAATATAGCTAGAATTAATGTAGTGAATCTGTAATGAAATGCATTATCCTGCACAGAGATTTATCAGATTTTCCAATTGAATGCCATGCTTTGCTAGCACTAGCTGGAGTTCACCTGCATGTTGGTGTGGCGTGTGGCTCTTTTTTGTAAAGAGTTAAGTTGAATACAAAAAAAGGGAACAAAGGTCAGCACCCAGCCGCCACTTGAATGTGAGATTTTTCTTTTTATTCCCCTTGATGTATACTAGGCTCTGTGTTATTAGTCTTAATGATGGAAAATTGTAGTGTTGATACAAATCTTTTTTTCAAAGTAGTAGGCGGGAGCTCCATTTGTTAGTAAGTTTTTTTGTGACTAAAAGCCACGGACAGTACATTTATGTAGCAGTAAAAGGCCTAGATGCTCTTTCCATAGCAGAGCTAATTATTCCTACTGTGACCTTACTGATCTACCCTGTTCCTAGTACATCTCATCTGCACGCCTGTTCCTCTGTGTAGATGGTGTCAGAGAATATGAAAAACCCTATAATGAAACCATTTTCATGATGGAGAAAGGCTACTGGAGTTGCACTTGCTACAAAGAGGCTCAATTATATGAGTAATTGTGATAATTTTCTACATTCATAGCCTTCAATGGGGAAAAAAGAATGAGAGCCACAAAGGAAAATTACTTTAACAAGAAAGTACAGAGAGTAAAAATGGAAGAAGAGACAAAAAAAGGGGGAAAAAAAATAACCAGAAAAAAAGTTTAAAAAATAGATCTGGAGGGAGGAATAGCAAGACAGGGAGAACAACAGAAATGCTCAAAAAGCCTATGTGCAGCTGTGTTGCACAATTAAATTGAATTTTTTTTCTGCAGTTGATGAATGTGACTACTGCAAATGTGCCTCTGTAGTTAGCTATCATTTGTTGTTCCGTGACAGGAAAAGGATAATTACCTCTCAGAGAGAATCAAAGGCTGACATGCCCTTTAGACACAGCCATGAATGCAGAGCTCGATAGAATGCTTGAATAAGAATCTAGTGTTCTGTGCCCCCTTCTACTCAAGAATAAATTTTGTTAAAATGCAAGAGCACCACCAGTAAATTTGTTGAACCCTAGGTGTTCAAAAATATGAGGTGCATCTATCGACTCATCCCATTTGCAAAAATAAAACTACATTTTGAATTCACTTCTATTATATTCATGGACAGTAAGATAGTGAGATATGCATTAAATTTCTTTTCCCAGTAGGGGTCTGATTCAACATTTCCTATGAAAGAACAGAAAGACACTATCCTTTTTCCCCAGGCTAGTTAGCCTATAATTTAAAACTGTCAAAAACACAATTTTATACAAAGTCTTCAATAAAAGCTTCTCAGATATAACCCAAAGAGGCTTTACTAAAGTTTGATTCAGACTCTGTTACAATATTTTTAAAGCTATAAATACATCTAACTGATATTTTGCCGCTTTCTTTTTTTCTTTAAAGTATTTGAAGATTTACAAAGAAAAAAAGGCAGCATCTTTTCAAGGTGTCTAAGCCTTGAAGCTTTTAAGCAATCAGAATGCATTCAATAGTTTGTCATGTCCATTAATATTCAGAAAAGTACCAGTGAGGTACTGCTTAATGAAATGTATATGATAGGAGTCCCTTTTTAAAAACACACTTATAAAAAATAAATAGATCAATATAAAAACAGATACCTTGAAAAATAAAGGCACACTTTAATTCAAAGTCACAAGAACAAGAGAAATAATTACCTTTATATAAAAGCAAGAACAAATGCAAAAATCTTTTCAAGTTAACTTTTTTTCCTTTCCGAGGTTTGTATGCACTCTTCTCCCATAGGTAAGAATCTCTGGGACTGTATATGTTTGTACTTTTTTTTAACAATATGACTTATTTATCTTGACTAATTCCTTTGTCACTGTTTCTCTACAACAAAAAGAATTTTGATTTCTAATTTTAATATACTGATTGTATTAAATATATGGTACAGGTTTAAGTAAAAGTAAGTGAGGGAGAGAAAAAATGCTATGAATCAAATCTGTTAATTTAAAACCGCAACTGACTTATAAACATCTTTTGACTCATTCGACAGTTATCTTTGCTGACCCTAGTGTAATTCACTTTTAAAAAAATCTTTCTTACCCAGGGAACAACATTATAGCCTGGCAGTTCACATACTGATATCAGACTGAAATGATGGTTCTGAATCATAAAACATGTCATCAGCTTTATACCAAACCACCAATAACCTTTGTCCCACTTGCCAGCCCTCCCTTTACTTGTCAGTATAAGGCTTACCTGATTGTGTTTCCAATTACAGAGAAGGGAGCCCCTGGTCTGCAAGCTGCAATTGCTTCATCTCTACATTTCCTGGCAACCTTCACTAACTTTTGACCAGATTTATCCACATTGCCCACCAAAAATGTTTCAGAAGTGTCACCATGGTAGCCATTGTAATACACCTAAACACATGCAGAAACATAAAGATATCTTCTTGTTTTGCATTCAGAAACAGAGCTTCTCCTTAATTAAAGACATTCTTTCTAGGAATCAGCTATGCATTTTAACAGATAGGCTTATTTTACGTTGCCTGTAAGATTCATTTGCAAAATAAAGTAGGAAAAGAAAAAGATCAGAAATAAAGCCAAAGGACACCTCTGTACAATTGCAATTAACTGTAAAAACCTGCAGTTTTAAAGTTAAGACTGAAAATGTAAAGTTTGCAAATTAAACATTCAGGAAATGCAGAACTTCTGCCTTACGGGCTTTGAGACCATCAGAAGGTGAAATTCATTCATCTACAGGAAGCTGGAATAATTGCCCTTCACATGTATGAAGTGTAAAGGGTTGGTGTGGGTTTTAGGAGAGTGAAATCCACTTCCCAAACCAGAGCCTGGGTACAGCGCCAAAGGACAGTCTTTGCAAGGATATTACTCCATCCTATGGGCTGAAATAATAGCTCCTGCTGCTCCTCTACTCCACATGCCCATACGGTATTTGTTGGTGCCACTGTACTGGCCCGTATCTCCCCTGTCCTAGGCTGGCTTCATTGCCTCCCTAGGCAATGAAGGCAACTTGCTTTGGCAAGTTAAGTGCAGAAACTCTACTTAGGGCACTAATACTCTTTTCAGGGCATGCAAGATATATTGTCTTGCTAAAGAGCATAAGTAGCTTGGAAGACCCTGCATTAGTCCTCCACAGTGAATATCAGCCAAACTGGATTTTAAAGTACACCTGATTAGAAATGCAAACTACTACAAGCATACAATGTGCGTGATATAAAAATATAAGCCAAATTCTTTGTTAGTAGGTACAGTTCTACTAGTGTCATGCACTTTCATTTTAGGACAATTTTAATTCTCATTTTAAACTGCAGCATTGTATTAACCTAGGTTTTTTGCTTTTCATTCCCCTGATTGAATTTAGAGAAGAAAAATGTAACTTTGGCACTATGAAGTTGAACATAATATAAATGCAGCACTTTGTTGGATACACAAAAATCCAACCTTTGTGATTATACAATTATGCAACTCTGTGTTTTAACAACTACATAGCACTCAACAGATTTCTCTAAAAACACAGAAAAACCCAAGTCTAGCACCCTCAAGGTTTCCAATATGGTATTAAAAAGAGTTTTGCAGTTCCACAATACTGCAGACAATACTTTAACTACAAGATGATTCAAACATTTTGGTGTGTGGGCAAAGCACAATTTCAACCGTTTGCAACTTAGATGTTCTAAAATATATTTTTCAAACTTAATAGAAAACTGTCTTCCATGACTAACTAGATGTAAAGTTTAAAGGATTGAAGTTGTGCCACTTGTGAGTTATTTGTGGAAAAAAAATACTTCTTTCACGTCAAAGTATTTTTGCTCACACTTGAACCCCAAACAGCTAAAGAGATTTTTGTCCACATTCTTTGGGGAAAAAAAGTCTTGTGCAAGCTGAGTTTTTTTTAAAGAAAATGCAGAGACAGTTATGAGCAAGTGATAACAGGGTTACAATGAAAGCTGAATTCAACAAAATGGCTCGATCCTGCTGTCACTGCCACCAACGAGAGCAGAATCAAACCCTTAATTACATGCTTTCTCTGACTGTTAAAAATATCAGCTCAGCTTTTCATAATTAGTTCATGTGAGATAGTTTTTGCTCCACTAGGTTCACTTCTAAATTGGACTACATTTTTAAGGCAGCATTCAGTCGAACAAACATCAACCTGTAACAGAAAATGACCACTACCATGTTGGAAAAATGAACACAGTGGGAGGTTTGATTTTGCAACCTCCTCAGGGCTTTAGCAAGAATGCCAGTAACAGGGGGCTCGGGCACCTGGTATCTAAATTAACAAGGAAGGGCTCATCTAATACTATTAAAACTATTTCTTAATTCAGTTACTATTTGCTACAACCCACATATCACCATTCCATATTTTACATTAATAAATCACAATTACAGTAAGTAGGATATGCCAGTTCCACAACACTGAGAGCTGGAACCAAGATGTAGGAACGAATACTTGATAATGGAAGGCTGAAAGCTGTGGCATGTTGATGATCCAGTGAAACACAATGCTTTTGTTTCTATTATTCTTTAAAAAAATATAAAGGTTACATGATTTAAGTCAATAACGTGTCCTTACATTTCATCTATGAAATTTTACAAACCTACTTGTGCAAAACAGATTTAATTTTTATCCCCAAACCATTTGCACTCACCATGAACTATTTATGTTTGATAGCTACAAGATTATTATTTAATCATTTTATAGATCCAGTACTTCTGTAAACAAAGTATTGTAGAATGTTTACTGTAATTGGACTGTTATGTCTATAATCATTGTTTCCACCTGTGAAATGCCCCAGTTTTCCTCATTAAAAATAAACTAAAAGGTCAATTATAAACACTACAAAGCAATATTTTTTCCTAGGGGATATTAGAAATGAACAATTAGCAAAACAAAAAAGTTATTTATTTTTAGTGATTAAAAAATATACAAAGTGAAGATAATCAAAGAATCATGACAGAACCAACCAGGAATCTTCACATTCCTGGATTCTTGCAAAATATATTTTATTTAGGAACTGAGCAGAAGATGAATGCATTAAAAAATATCCCTATTATTTATTCAAATATATTTGTGAAATACACTGGAGAAAACAGAGACAACCATATTAGTATAAAATGTTAGTTAAGTTTATTGTGGAAAAGACCTGCAAGTATGAACAAGAACTCTGATTTTCATCTGAGGACTCATCGTTATCTTTGAGGTAATAAAAACAGTAACATTAACTTTAAATCAGGTGACAGTTAAAGAAACCAGGGGCCAGAACCATAGTTGCTGCAAACTGGCACAGTTCTACTGAAGTCAGTGAAACTAAGTCAGTTTACACCAGTCAGAGACTAGGCCCCAAAAAGTATTTTGAAGACAACAGACCACTTTGCATAAACCTGATGGAGCAAATACCTACAGTTAACTTATATAGAATTGGGTGGAATGCAGCCAGAAAGTAAAATGAAGAAACCAACCAACCCAGAACAGGATCATAAGTGAATGGGTTTCATGAGGCAAAAAGTGAATGCATAAAGAAGTGTGTAAAAAGCCTGAATTCTGAGGTTAGATCTGTGGCACATTGGAGTTGAATTTACTTTTGCCAGTGGTCAATTTAGCACATGGAAAGCAGTACCGAATTGTCAATATAGATATTTGTATCAATTTCTCTAATGGTTGAAAAAGCTGAATCTGGTGACCGGCAGTGTTATTAGGTATCATATATTATTGCAGTTCTAATACTTAGAATTCTATAAGATATTTTTGTATATACTAAAAAGAAATCGCCAAAGGTTTGAAAAATAAAAACATTTACTGTAAAGAGGAAAAAACAGAACCAAAAAAAAACAACTGATTGTTTTAATAATAAAATACCAAAAGGCAACACACAATTAGGTTTTCAGTTTCCGTAGTCTCTTGTGCTAATGAAAATCCAGTCAGTCTTTATTTAAATAGTATAATTGACCATTCTGTAACAATACTGAGAGTCAACTGTTATACCACACTATCTGTTTGTGAGTAAAGGGTTCAAGGCTCTTACACCAGAAATGGAACACAACACTACCTTCAGGGATTTTAATAAATGTAGGGAACACTGCTAGCAAAAGAGTTGCTGTCCAAATAGACTGACATACACAGGCCAATGTAGCCTCTAATGACAGAGTAAGATAATGACAGGCCCCACTCAAAATCAGCAGGAAGAGGAAGATCAATCTTGGCAGAGTGAAGGAAAAATGCTGGCTTTCTTCATGTTAGCTCATCTCATACATATCTATCTTCAGCTGCTGCCCAGTACTGTGGTGCTCTGCATTAACTACACAGTGGATCAATAACAATTACACCTTCTCAAAAACATGACACATAGCAGGATTGGGTTGACATTTCACTTAGGCCAACATTGATCTTAGTGCATCTGATTCCAGCCCTAAATTCAAGTCAGGCCTGGGTCTAGTTGGAATAAACACAGAGTTAAAAACAAAAAAGGAAACCAGCTGCTTGTGCCTTGGCTTAGAAGTAAACAGCACATCCATCTGTGCATTCCACATTTTCAATCTACAATTCTTCCTGTTGCTACTAGCAATTCTAAAGTTGATCAAAGACTATTTTTTATATGAATTACTCACCGTGACATCAATGTTGATAATATCTCCATCCTGAAGAGGTCGACTGAAACATAAACAGAAAAAAAAATAATGGTGACAGACAGTCCTCAACAAAGGGGATATAAGAATAAACACCTAATGACACACACATAAAAATCAGGAATAGATAATTTGTGCTGGAGGAAGATGGAGGCAAATGGAATAACCATTTCTTATCTTCAGCTCTCACTATTTAAAGAACAAGTGTAGTTGAATATAATGTAGTAAGAAGTAGCTAGCACAAAAAGATTTCAGGATCCAAAACAGTACTGCTGTACTTAGTCTGATCATCTAACTGGTTTATAGTGAGTTGATATTTTACTTTCTGAACAGACACGTGAGTTACTGATGATCAATATTTACATTCATTACAGTATCTTCATTCCATAAACTATACATATTTTGCTGAGAAAGGTTAAAAGCATTATTAATTGCACTGTATTTTTCAGACTCTAATCCCTAAAGACATTTACACTTTCATTCATTAAGCATTGTCACAAACAGTAGATTATTGTTTTTATTTATAAAAATTCCTGAGCTGCCCATCGCCATAGCTTTATAGCATGGCATGCAGCTGTAATAGATTTTTAAGTAACATTCAGATATACAGAAGTATGTTTAATACTAAGTTGTAAGTTATGAATCTTCACTTAACATTTACTTTCCAATACTAAAATATATGTTATTAAAGGAATACCTGTCAGGAATACCATGACATAGGACATTGTTTACAGAAGTACAAACAGATTTTGGAAAACCTCCATAGCCCAGAGGTGAAGGATAGGCTTGTTGTCTGATTATTTCATGATGAACAATGAAATCTATTTCTTCAGTTGTCATGCCAACCTAAAATATTAAATAAAAAATTTGTGTTAGAAAACTAAAGACATTTTCTTATATTTACTGAATGTGATTGCAGCCACATGCTTCAATGAAATCTAGGATGATACAAATCTACTGTTTTGATACAAAACATTTAAATGTAATATGGTAGGCTTTATTTAGAGAGAAAGGTTTGAAATCAAGCATTTGGTAACAGGGAGCACTTAGAGGCTCCCAGGAAACCTAAAATGCCATCTACTTTTTTTCTTTGTTTCTTTATCCACATCTGCTTCTCAAAACCACCATTTTCTAATGGCCTTGTTTTTCAATAGCTGCTACAGAAGTGCCTGATTTTCTAAACTTCTCCTCTCAATGCTTCCATCTTCCTTACATAATTAAAAATGGCTTCTGTCTGTGCTTTCAAATATTCTATCTGATGCTCTCAGTCTTTTAAAAGAAAATGTCACTTTCTTTATAACTAGCAAATAAGAGCCTGCTTATGTATTTATAAATAAAATTTTCCTTCAATTATTTTAAAAAGAGTATAAATGATTTAAAGCATTTAAATATCCCAGTTCATAATTGGAAGTTTTTTGTATCATAGTAGACAAGACAGTTTTAATTTTAGTTTAATTTTAATTAGACTTTCTACTTTAATCCTATAATCTCTAGAAAGTTTCATTTTTGCGATGAATTCTTTTGCACACTAAATATAACATTTTAAAAAATTAACAAAAATGGTTCTGTTATTTTTTAACATCAAGAGAGAAAAACCCACTCATATTTAAAATACTGTTACTCCAGTTTTTCATTCAGACCAACCCTAGTTCAGCAATAGAAAAAAAAAAGGTGAAATTTGGTAGGGAAACCTCTCTCATTGAGAAGAAGTACCTTTGAGCATTCCTATGAAAATTGATTTTGATTTGAATGAGTTTTAAGCCTTTGAAAATCACACTTCATATACATACACTACAGTGGCTATGATTTTTGAGTACTTTTAGTAATGTCTGAAATAAAGGGAGGTTGCATCACACATCTGTATTGGTTACTCTCTGGGGTAGTGAAAGATTCAGTGATCATATACAGTGTAATGATGTAGTATGTAAGGAATTAAACCGAGGTGTTATAGAGCCATTACCTTGGTCAAGGTGTCATTGGCCAGGTGAAGATTACTGCTGCACCCAAACCATAGTACGTTGCTACGTGGATACGCTCCTAAGAAGTAGCTATTCCAACCTATGTGCTAAAACAGTAGCTGCAGTCCCTGTCCATTAATTTCACAGTTTACTATGGCCCCTGAATCTGCTTTGCTCCAGCTGCTGACCAGGCTTTCTGCCATGGCTGCAACCCTGGGAAGCCCCCAGGACAGGCTGCTGGGGCCAGCACAGTTGCTCACCCCAGCCTGCTCTACCCCACCTGGGATAAACTGATGGACTTCAGAGCACACATGGCACAGGTGTTCCCCAGGGACAAGTAGCAGCAGCATTCTTTGTGTCCGCACTTGTGTAGATGTGGCCTCAGAGGGCAGATCTTTTGTGTAGCCTCTACAGGGGGCTGACATGTTCTGAAGAGTCCTTTGCTGTTACTTCATATACTGGGATCAATTTTGTTTAATTGAAAATGATGTGGGGGACAGTGAAGGCTTCCTCTTGAGCACTTCTTCTGGTATATGCGATAGGGTACTCTGGTAGTATCTAGCCAAAATTTTCCACATTGTGGAATTTGTTTTTTCCTTCAACAAACCCTATGAAATTGCATCAAACAATTTTTAACATTGCATTGTTAAACACAAAAAATCAGGGCATTATAATGTTAAGACTTTATACATTAACCTTAATTACCCGGTTGCATATTATTTCTGAAATAACGTGTTACGCATTTATTATTCTGTAGTGTTAGATGCACTTCTAATACTGTGTTATGTGACACTTCTAATACTTTGTACCACTTTACTCATACTAAAAAAGAGAACAATCTCTTTGAAGGCTAAACTATTTTAAAAGTGAGTGTAAGTCTAGTTTAGGGAAAACAACAACAAAGGGCAATAGTAAAAAGGTGTTGTCATGTATAATCCACATAATTTTTGAGTTAAGTCCCTGATTCTGAAAAAACTTATAAAATGTGCTCATCTTACATGCGTAGTTGTATTGAAGTCAGTGGCACAATTCTAAGTAGGAAGTTAAATGTACACAAGCATTTGCCAGATCCAGGTCTAAATCACTTTTGTCATTTATTGCATCATTCCCTGAATTGCACCTATGGGAAGCTGTGTTGATGGTTGAAAAGAAAATGGGCAGTATCAAATGTATAAGGTCTCTTAGTACAAAACTAAGAGCAGTGATTATCTAAATATATTATGCTAATATTAACATTGCAATAAGAAAATTAGTATGAGTAAAAGTAATGAAAGAATAAAGTGTGGTGTGTATGTAACACTGTAGAATAAAGTGATATAACAATAATATATTTAAGGAATCATATAATCTTGTATTTAAAGACTTTATAGTAATGTTCATGCAAAAGAGGCAGACCTAAGGATATACAATTTTGTCACTTTCTGATTGTTTAATACTATTTGTGCAATTTTAATCTTTTTAAATATATTTGATATCTCTACATGCTCTACATTCCTTTTCCCACACCTATGATAGGTTCACTTACTACTGAATGCATTTCATCATACTCTGTGTAAAGCAAGATGTATTATGTACTTCTCTGTCCCCAAAGACTTTGAGGAAGTTCCCCTAACTATATTTTTATGTGGGAGGTACACCACAAAGCATTCTGTAGAAACATTATTGAAAACCAAGAAATTTAATTATCGTTGCACTTTGGCAAGGTGCCTAGAATTTGGCAGCTGCACTTTTAAACAGCGGTTCTGGAGCTCATGATCTGTCTGATCACATGGCAAGAAAAGAAGGAGCAGTTGAACCGCTGGCAAGGGAAGGAACAGTCCAGTCCCTGAGGCTCACAGAAATGTAGAGCAGGAAAGCAGTAAGTGTGAAGAATAGGATTTACTGTGTAACAAAATAACAAAGAGTCCCATGGACCTTATGACAAACTCATGCAACTTAGGAGGTCAGAATCGAGACCTAAATTTTGGATTACACCGTAAATACCTAGTAACTGTTAACATGTTACACAGATCCAAGTGACGGAAATGATAAACAGAATTGTTTTGTATTTAAAAAAATAAGGCTATGAAGTTAATAATCAAGCATTCCAAAGTTAATAAAATGCTCTTTATTTAGAATTCTTAAAAGAAAGTCAGATGAGCATTAAAAGTAAAAAGAAACCAACAGAAATCTAAGTGTAGAAGCACTGCTTTGTGATAGGTCTTCATGAGACTGTTACCTTTAAACTTTTTCCAGCTAGAAGTAGGATATGACGGGCCAATTGACAAACTTGCCGAAGCCCTTGAATCTGATCTTCAGTCTTAATTTCTATGTAGTCTCCCCAGTCTGGTATAATGCCTGTCGTCACATAGTCTGGCCTCTTTATGTTCTTAGAGAGAAAGGATTGAAAATGAAGATCAGAAAACTGAGCATGACAATGGGATCATTTTCTCAGATACTGCCTCCTGCTTCATAGCAGTTTGCCCTTTCTGTCATAGTATCGACCTTCCTAAGCTATCAGGGCAAACCCTCAAGGCTGCCTCAGTATTTCTTCCACTGGCCTTTTGAACTTAACATTGCCTATTACTATTGACCGGGATAGTCTGTTAACCTTACAGTATTGAAATCCAAGATAATGCAGTAGCCTTTCAGTACAAATAGTTCTAAGAATTACAACTGTCAGAGGAGGACTTAAAAGTTCATTATATTCTTCTTTAAACAAAGACAAATTTTATACATAAGTCAACTAAACACTTTTTAAATGTATGAATAGGGCTAGGAATAGGAATGACTGAATACTTAGTCCTTAGGCAAACAAAACCCCTACTAACTTCAGAAAAAAAATGTCTGATTAAGACAAAGCATTTGGCCATAGGGTTATTTCTATCTATTAACCTTCTTCGTATGTATTATGCCTCTCACACATTTTTCTAACACTATTTGACCACATCCTAATTCAATGTCTTCCCAAAGGAAGCTATGAATAAACACCTGAATTTTATTAAAAAGTCTCATGCCTCATATACATGCAAAATCCTCTTTCATATTTTTTCTTAAACCTACATAAATACCAATAGCATCTTATACATACACGCAAGCACACATCATCCTCTTCAGGCCTACAACATTGTTTGCTAAGCTATACACAGGAATCCCTTCACCCACCACTACTGGCCAGATCCTGACTCATTCATGTCATCAGGAGAGTTTTGCCACTGACTTCAGTGGACAGATGATAAGCCAATGGAGATGAATAAAGTGGCTGTTTAAACAGTACACAGCAAATACTACAACAAATTTTAGAGTAGGAAGAGGAGATGAATAGTGTATCCAATTAACTCTGTAGGGGGACTTTCAATAGGGAGACTAGTTATCCAACTGGTATTTAGTTACTTCTGTTCTTACAGAAAGTGTCATAGGATGTTTAATGACCTCAAGTTATCAGGACTTCAAATGGCACCTCAGGAGAACAGCATCCACTTAGAGGGAAAAATCTCACCTACTGAATTCCCAACTCCATACCCTGAAGCAGTCTAAATTTTCCCTTGGAGGATAAGTCCAATAACTGCCTGTTTCAAAATGGCTGCCCAAGATGACACCACGATGGCATACTTGTAGACATTTATGTAATTTATGTACACATTTTCTGACCCTTTTCTTTCTCCTATAAATATCTAAAAAATAATGTCTTTGTAATATAAATATTACTTTATAGAAAGACATACCTCTGTTCCCCAATTTTTATAACGATCTATATCTATCAACAGATAATGATATATCTATATATATAGAAATACAGATTCTTGTAATATCTCTCACTATTTAGATCTTAACTGAATAATTTGTACATCCTGTAATTTTGCAAACAGTTGAAAAATAGACAGGTAAAGTTGTCTGAGTATTGTAACCTGGGAAGATAATTTTTGTAACATGACAATCTATTTCTTTGTATTTATTCTGAAAGAAACATAAAGATATAGGAATAAGCTTATAAATACAACATCCATTTTTTAAATCTTTGAAAATATAAATGGCTTGATCCTATATTTTTTGTGTACTCAAAGCTTCCATAATGCCTTAGGTTTAAGAACTCTGTATTAACTGTCTTTAGCCCATACTTCTCAAATTAATCTTTTTTTTCCCTGCCACTGTTGGACAGCATACATATCTTATATTTTGTGTCAGGTAACTACAGTCTGGTAAAAAGAAACACTTATACACATCACTAGAAATATCGTTCATATTATTTTCATTAAAGGAAGGATATTAAATAGGCTGCATAATGCAATTAAGGCAATAAAGGGGAAATTATGACAAAAACACTTGTTAGACTTCCCTAAAATGGGTTACATCAGCTTCAAAAGTTGATCAAAAATAAAAATACATGTATTTATAAGAAAAAGTGTTTAATCAGTAACAGCAAAGGTTAGCTCCTAACTTACATAGCAGGCTACCTGGCTGACATTTCAATGTATGCTTTTATCTAAGTCTGAAATCACCAAATCACAAAGTGCAAGAAGATGCAAACATATTTAAACTCGATGTATTAGAAATTTACATTGAAAAGGCCTCAGATGAGCATGTGTAATTCGTGATTATTTCAGCTAGAATGATCTGTACAGATACAAATAGAGCACAGGGACCTACAAGCATTAAATGTTTTCAGATTATCACAATATTTCATATTTATGTTACTGTAACTTAAGGAATTCCACGTTTAAACTCCCTAATGACTGGACACACCACTCTGCTTAGCATGGCTGAAAACTTCTCACACCTTGTTCCTTTTTCAAATTCCAAAACAAGTAACAAGACCATGATTCAAAACTCCCAGCTCTTAGAGGATGAATATACTTGATAGTTCACCTGCTCAAACTTTATATTGATTGGGAAAAGGATCAGTTAATAGAAATTACAGTACCTTAGGAATTGGCTGAGCTGGAGACACTGTAGCTGGCCAAACTATACTGTAACTAGTATTTCTTTGTCCCAGGAAAAAGAAATATCTTCTTTGTTGACTGCCTGACTGTTTGTGTAAGTAGATACGATTGCTTAGTGAAGAGAAACCTCTATGGCAGTCAGCTGCAAAACCTTTAGACAGATAAGTAAAAAAAAGAATTTTATCATTACCATATTATCAAGTGGTATCTGTATCAAAGGAAAAGCAGTAGATACAAGAGAAAAGTAGCTTTTTAAGAGTAGCAAGATCCAGTTCACCAAGGTAATTATTTCTCTGTTAACACATGATATTTATTGTCTAACTGTAGTTCTATATAAATCTTATGCAATAAAAAACTGTTAACATTTACAAGCAATAAGAACAAAAATTCATATCAAAGCCTTGTAGAATGCTAAATCTATTTTGCTCTAATGTATAAAACAGTTGCTTGTCCAAATCCCCAGTGCATCAAGACTAGAATTAACCTTGTAATTGGGCCCTCTTCTCAATTACTTGAATTGCTGAAGTTTGGACAGGCCAATGCTTGGGGCAACACTAAACAAAGGACAATATCCAGAAATCAGGAAAGAGAGGAGGATGTACAGAGGGCATATCAAACAATTTTTTAATTCATGTTTTGGTTGAACTGGTTGTAGGTTCAGATAGGGCACAGTGAACTGTTTTCTGATCATAAACATCAAGATACAAAGAGTAGGGCCCATATTTTTAACTTCCTGACTTTCCGTGGAATAAGCTGAGAGAAACATTTCTAGCCTTGGCTGAAGGCAACAGAAGAGGTTAACACTCATCAATGAGCTAGCACATTATTTAAATCAGATTCTCATCTAATAAGGAAATGTTGGATAACATAGCCCTTCAATTGCATCAGGTTGATATTCATTACTGTGGGTTACTTGCTGTGCAATGAGACATTTTGTAGGAATATATGAGTATGCAAGCATACAACATGTCAAAAAAGGGCAAATAACATACCACAAAATGAAGTCCCAAAGAAAAACTAATAATTTTCACAGGATTGTCTATGCATCATAACTAACCAACGGTCAGATTCAGTTTACCTTGACATGAATTACAAATTCAAAAACAAAACTAGGATTCAATTTGGAAGCATGACGAAATGCATAGCACGTAATAGATTAACTTGTCTCAAAGAGTGTCACACACATACAAAGCATCATGGGTAGATGCATATATAAATACTAGCAACATTTATGTGGCAGATAAGTAATGAGAACAATTACTCTTCAATAAAAAGGTTTTTTGTTTGTTTTGTGTTTGTTTGAAATCAGAGCTGGAAAAATCATCCAGTTCAGCTCCTAGCCAATTAGCGTTTTCCTACTGTACATTTTCTGTTGCCTTATCCAGTATAGTTTTAAATTACCCAATGAAAAATAATTGGGATTTCTCACTCATTCCCTCCACATTATAGATTCTTGTAATGTTGTTCTATTTTGCCTGGATGCACCCACTGTGGCTGGTGCATGGAAATTTCACTTCGCGCTTACATGCACCTTCTAGAGCAGTGGTTCCCAACCTTTTTTTGCCATGACCCGCTGCTGGGAGAGGAGCGCAGTGGTGGTGGCCCAGGAGTTCCTGGCACACGGCGTGGCTCGTTCTTTGTGTGCGGCACTGCTAGCATTGCCCCTGTGACCCTCATTTGGGTCACGACCTGAGGTTGGGAACCGCTGGTCTAGAGGTAGGTTTTTGACAGTGGTCCATAGTACCCATGAAGTATAGGAGTAGTGAGCTATCCTTTTAGAAACCCAACAATGCAGATCAAAGGGAATTACTCAGTAAGCTCTGCCACAGAAGGGCTCATAATGATTCTTCTTCATTTTGACAAGTGCCAATGTTAATGAAAACTGGTCAAATTTTTACAGCACCTGAGGAGTGCAGGGACCTTGCTCGTTACTAGCAGGCTTCTACTTCCTGTTTGGATCTCCTGCAGGTATACAGGCCAGGGTGAAGCAATGAAGTAGGGTTGGGGACTTGGGTTCAAATAAGGTTCTCACAGGAAAGGCAGGGAAATAAGTAAAAGTGGAGAATACAGAGGCAGAAGAGCTTTGCGGTTATCAGAGGGTAGGTTGTACTACACACTGGGTTCACTGTGTTTACTTTTTTTGCTTCTTATGTTATTAACTGGGTATCTCAGGCCTCAAGAATGGCATCTGTGAGTGAAAAACCTGCTGTTTAGCTTCTTTTATATTGTCTGCTGGTCTAAACTGCTCTTCACATTTACAAAGAAAGATCACCAAAAGCTTTCTGTAGACTCGCTAGCCCAAATCACCTGAGATCCCATTGGCACTAAACCCAGTATCTGCACAAGCAGCAAGTTACAGGTCATCAGAAGAAACAGACACAAGTAAACTAGCATGAACATACTATGGTCCTTTTACAGTCCTGAAGAGGTGTCTAGCCTTTGTCACAAGTACAGGATATTTCTCTGCAGCCTTACATAGGCATAATAAATACATTTAAAATCCACATTCATTCATGTGGTCAACTAGAGTCCACCCAGATACCAGTATGTAACTGTGTATTTCAAATGCTTTCCATGATGAATGGCATGCTGCCAATGCACCTGTCCTGCCACATAAAAGTTTAATTGGGGAAAAAAAGATGCAAGTGCGCTTGTCAATTATTTGACAAAAGCACTCTAAATGTTCCAAATACACACTCAGAAGTACATTAAGTTAATTTATATTCATGGGTGCACTCCTATCAACTATCCCAAATTCAAAAGGGATACCTCTTTATTTAGAGTGAGATTTTTACCTCTATCCCACAAAAGACATGCTATAAGTGTTGTCACAAGATAACAGGATAATAAGGTACTGTACTCTGTTGTTATTCCACTAACTATTCATTACAAACCAAAAAAAAAAATCTGCTTGCACAGGTGAAATGCATAAACCAAATAAATAGTCTTACAGCATAATATGAATCCTAAAATAAATTAATAGAAAATACAAACATAGAATAATGAAACCTTTATTTAAGGAACAATAATATAACATCAAAAAACATTTTCTTCTGAGGTAAAAAAGAGAAAAGCAGTAGGATCTCATGCAAGGCATTTGTTTAGGAGCAAAAATCTAGTCGCTATCCACATACCAGCCTTGCAAAGAAAGCATTTTAATGTCTCTGCAACTACTCTTAATTTTTAAGCTCCAATATTCACAGCTAATTTGATATACCAACATCATCAATCACAAGAGACAGGAACAACTGGCTGTAGTCCACGTCTTGCTCAAATACTCCCCACCCAGCCTTTTACACCCACATGCGCTGCTGTCAGTGTTCGATTTACTTCTGTTCTTCTGCCGCTGACAGCCCATCCTCTTTGTGAAGATGTTTTGAGACATAAATGTGTATTAATAGATGTAAAATATTTTATAAATGCAGTGTTTATATTTCCAGTGAAAATTATAAACATGAGAGAGAGCACAGTTAGAAAGCAGTAGCTTTGTAATATTGAGCTTATCATAGCAAGGGTGTAATGCTGGCCATTTAGTTTCTTTTTCCCTCCCAGACACTAAATCTATGTCACTTACCATGGATAATAGAATATTTACTATCAGCTGCAATAATGAGAATTACTTCCAGTGTTACAAAAATCACATCAGCACATAGTTTATGCTGAGCCTAGGAAATTATAGACAACTGCTTCTTTGACTCCAAAGTAAATCATACTGTGTACTCTGTGTACATGCATCTTTTCTGGAGCTGTTGGATTCTTTGGGATTTCTTCTGTATTTTAATTTATAGTAAACATTTAAACAAAATTGTGAGTTTTATGATTTATTACATTAAATTATTTTATGGGATTATCTTTTATTTTAACTGATTTGGTCCAAAGGGTTGAATGCAGAACTCAGATATGATGATGGGTGGGAAATATTTTAAGTGACTAATTTGCAGTACAATGTGCCCTACATTTATTAGACTTTTACTCCAGGTCTGTTCTAATTGTTATCTGTTCATGCACGCTATAGTATATAATGAAATGCTCCCATTTCACCCACTGAGTAGTAAGGTTTTTTATGTGAACGTCTATTAATAACCCCTAGTGAAGTTGATTTTAGTAATTAAATGTGATATTTCTTCTGGTCAGGAAGTATTTTTTAAGGGAGGGGCTGGGGACAAAAAACCCCAAACAATTGGCTCCTTTTAAATTGTTCCTTATTTGATAGCTACAACAGTAAATACTCCAGATTTTCAGTGATGGGGCTCTATTAACACCAAAACTAAGTGTATATTTTTCAACATACCAGTATTTAGATGCTGGTACTTTCAGGTGTCATCACACCGTTAGAACGTATTTAGTTCAGATTCCAAATGTACCAGTTAAGCAGAAAATTCAATGCAACAAATTTCAGTGTGGTTCTACTCTACAATAATTAGAAGCATATACTTAAAAAGATTCAGACTGTAAAATATACATATTTTAGAATTATATTGTATAACTATATTTACAATTATATTATACAACTATAATAATTATCAACAGACCACAAACGCAAGCTGGTAAACATATTTATGGACTATCAGGATTAGCATCCAATCAATTTAACAAATATATGCAATTAATTCCTAGTGAAACGAATCGTGTACAACAGAAAATATTTAGCAGTCACCAATATCTAAACCCAGCATTTTGCTAACGTCTTTTTAAATATTGTGCCGTACTTGTCAATCTGAACTGAAAACTGAGTTTGGTGATTTGCTTGAAAAATACACAGTTGAGGGTAAAAAAAAAAGGGAACATTTTTAATTTTAAATTGGTCTGTCAGATAATATTAATCTTGTGTTATCAAATGTTAATGTTAATCTTTTTTATTAATCTTGATCATGTTAATTCCGTGTCAGTTTTGATTTTGAAGGCATCATAGGAATAAAGTTTGAAATGACTGATCTAAAAAGGACTTTGGGTAATACCACATGAACACCAACCAAGATAATTACAGTTGAAGTACACAACTTTTTACTGATCATTACAAAATACAATTTTTCTTCAATGTCACAATCTAAAATATTGAAACTTTGGTGTAGCAGAACTGTAAGGAGCATAAGCTACAGTACTGAATAATGTTTATTAAACACTGATTTTGTAATGCCCCTGTTACAGAGG